GGTCATAACAGTTGCTGTTCTTTACCAAACACGTGGTGGGAAAGGGCGGTCCTTTGATGGCGCGAAGAATTGCAGCTCATTGCGACAGACCCAACGCCCAACTTTTTCCGGTGGAATATCTGTTGGCTTCGTCTTGGCCAAGACTGGTGACCCAAAACAAGACTGGTTGGTGGTTTGTGAACAATCATCCTAAGGTTGAACATACACACGTCGCATATCTGCAACCAGCACCCCAAAAATGAATTTGGCAAAAAGCTACTATAGTAACAAGGTGCATCGCTACTAGTAGCAAGATCGTTTCCTTTACACACTCTTCATCTTGTAGACCAATCACCCAGATTCCCTCCAAAGGAAAAACAGAAGGGGCGTGGTGTTTCTGGTGATTCTGGTGTGGTGTGTGTGTTTAAACTAGGGAGACCTTCTCTCCTCATTCCTTCCGACACTCTCGGATCTGCCCAGCTTTCAAGCTGTGGTCGGTTCCCAACCACAGCCGAGGCTCCCACAAGGTCCTCTCCCTGGCTGCTGGGTGATTTCAAGGGAACACCTCGTGAAAAATCGTCCGTGGGTTCCATCCTCCGTTTCGGTGTATGGCTTTTCAACACCTTGGACGATTCGAGGTGAACCACGACCATAGATCGTTGGACACCCACCACATCCGATTTCGCTGGTTCCAAACCGAGGACATCGTTTTCCACCCACTCAGTGCGATTGGACACCCACCCAGCTGGGGTGCAGTGCTATATCTCCCCGTTTCCGACTCTCCGATCGTCGGTCTCCTCCAGTCCATCCAGCTTTCCATCCACCTGGACCACTGCTGGGAGCAACGGCGCAGTTCCGCGGGACCGCCGTGGCTCGCATGGAGGAACCCGAACACGTCAGCCAAACGTTTTTTGGCCCCAAAAACGAGTCGGATCTTGGGGCATGAGTGACTCAAGGACTGCACTCAAGGACTGCTCCTCTTCATCCCCCTGCCCAAGCACCAAACCGGACCTCACCACTGTTCTCCCCAAGTCGTACCGTCACACCGCCGCGCGCGCCCTTCCGCCGGGGAGTTCGGCCTCTGCGGGCGCCTCGCTCGGAGCTTCGCGCTCCGAGCCGTTGGAGGAGACCTTCGACGAACCCCTGAGGCGCGACGGGGCGTGGACTGGGGGAGTGGACCTCAAGCTGATCAGGTCTGTTAAAGCTGATCATGATTGATTCCGATTGTTGATTGAGTTTAATGATTTATTCTTTGCTATTGATGATCTTGCCTGGGTAAAGTCATTAAGATATTGGCACTGCGGACTACTTGAATGGCCTTTGATAGGAAGAGTTTCTCAATAATTACCCCACTGGAAAATTGCCATTCACCATATGTTCACAATGAGACGTCCCTAGCATTTGTTTGACGACTGAATATTGGGTCTATCCCAATATCAGTAACGGTGGATGATGATGGTTAGAAAACGGCCTTTCTCAAACAGAAAACAACATGATAACCTTAGGAGCCTGCTACTGGGACACACCCTAACTCAATTGGGGCTCCTTGAATCCAAGCAGGACCAAGCTCGTTCCCCCATGTGGAACACCACAGCAGCGGCGCCTCGCCGTTGAAAGTTCTTCCAAGAGTGCCGGCTTCACCTGCAGAGAAGCAGGGTAGACGGGTCGACAGGTTGTTCCCAAGCAAACACCCGTCCGTTTCACACTCGCTGTTGATGTGCGTCCTGGCTTACTTCCTTTGGGCTGGGCTGGGCTTACCCGATGCGGATGTGGGGCCCGGCGCCGGTCTCGTCGACTTCGCCAGGTCGGTCACGGGTTTCTCTGGTGGTCTTCCTTAGGTCTCAAGACTCCTTGTCTGTCCAATTTCCTGATCTTTTCGAGCTTCCCATCCTCTTCTCATCCAAGAAAACGGGGGCCACCCACACCCCCCACACCCCGACACCATCGCCCGACACCATCGCCGTGCATCCGCCCGGCCGCCTCGCCTTGGCTTCAAAACTGCACTGCGGCGCGGCTTTGGGCTCGCTCGGCCCGCTCCAGCGACTCTCCGGCCAGGGCTTTGCTGGCTGTCGGGTGGACTCCTCACCGAGTTGGTGTGAAGCTGCCAGTTACGGTCGTAGCGATGGCCTCCAACCTAGAAGGGATTTAACTATAATTTAATTCTAATAGCAAACATTGTTACTACTAGTAAGGCACTTGTTACTAGTAGCGATGCACTTGTTCCTAGTGGCGTTCTTGTTACCTGTTACCAGTAGTCATGGCCAGGAGCCCCGTTCGTAGCTGGCTCCGTAGCTCCGTCGCGATGCCGTTCCGTGCTTCGTTGCGGTTCCGGACTCGATCAAGTCGGTGGACTGGTCGTGAAGGGTCTGTGTTGGTCGTTCACCGTGTGGAACGAACCAATCGGTCTGAAAAGAACCCGCTTCTTGTCAAGTCTACTCTGCGGTACTGACGATGCAGGTACTACTTCAACGATGGTTCAATGGTCACGGACCGTGTGAGATATTTTGGCCACACTGTGGCAGTACGGCATCGTGGCCAACTTGGAAAACTCGTCAATCACAGCTGCGGCTGCGAAACCTGTGGGAAGGACCTTTCATTGGGGAAGGAAGGACCCATCGAGATCGCCTCGGACGCCGGCGGCACGGCAGAACTCGCACCGCAGAGGTTTTTTCCCCACGGAAAACGGAGCGCGGGAAACGGTGGTTCCGTTCATGGAAGAGTATCTCTTTGTGTTTGAGGGACCTTTTGTTCGCGGGTGACACTCGCTTGATTGGGTTAGGGATCAACATGGATCCACAAAAAGAAGAACATGTCAACGAAAGACTACCAGGACACCCGTTTAGGGGTGTCTTTTGATAGCCCCTTAGAGGTTTAGGGGTGTCCATTAACCACCCCTACTCCAGGAGTCACAAGACGGGGTGCGATCCATGGAGGTAGTCGGGGTGCCCCTGTCACATCCACTCACACCACCCCGACATGTGACTCCTGGCGAACGTGGATCTTCATTGAACACCACTTGGAAGGTCCAGGTACTTCCGCGAACGCACGAGAACCGCCCGGTCCCCACCCGAGACCAGAGACCTTAAGACCCCCTCCCGTCGTCGTTGTTTCGTGGGAACCACCTGTTCCCGAACGTCTGCGTGGAACAGGTCTCCCACCAGCTTGGGCAGTGAAGAAAATCCCAGAAATTCCCAACCACATCCCTTGAAGTCGACCCTCCGACCCTCGGGGTGTCCTGGCTGGACTACCCCACACTACCCAAAAAGGCTTCCAGACAGGGCACCCCCCTTGCCTTGGAGGGTCCAAGTCGACCTCAAAAAACACACGACCCGACAAGGCGGTGCCGTGGTGAACTTCCCACGGAAGCGATCGGTGCGATCCGCGTCGCTCTCCTTCAGCAAGTGGGGCAGCTGGCTGATCCGCTGGGTAAACTCATAGATGGCCTTCTCCGCGGATGACTGCAGCCCACAAGCCTGGGGAGAGCTTGTGGTTCCGCTGTCTGCGGCTCTCTCCCTGTTTCAAGCCGACCCTTCACCGATGTCACGGCTCCACCAACCCAACTTCCCCGAGTGACGTTCCTCCGGATGGGCCGCCGAGCCACGTCCTGCTGGCCCATCTGCCCGTAGCCGGTCGCCAGCATCGGCGACCGTCCACGCTCCCCCCCCGGCCGCTACGCTCCGCCGACCCGCGGCGGCCGCCGCGGACGGGGCGGGGGGGCCCCGCTGGGAGCCAAAGAGGGCGAGAGAGAGGGGGGGCGGTGAAAAGCCGCGAGCGACGGGGTGAGTGACCGAGTTTGTTGAAGCAACGCCTTGTTTGAAGGGATTCTAGAAGGTTCATTACAAAAAGACGACCGCTTCCAGGTGGATTCGAATCACTTACTCCTCCAAGTCTCAAAAACACACCGGACGACGTGCACCGACGACGCACGCCGCGGCGAAACCCAACGACCAGCACCAGACTCCTCTGGCACCGAAAAACCCAACGGTGTGCAACCACCGAACCAAGTCTGGACTCAGGTCAACGATGGAAACCCCATGGCAGCTCGGGGGGGGTCTGAGCTCTTGGCGGGGGCTTTGATCAAAGAGCTCCGAGCTCTTTACGCTCTTTGCAGGGTGGAGGCCCATTCCGAGATCCCATGAGCTCCCGCTCCGTTCTCTCCATCTGTCCACGTTTCTGAGTTCAGGTGCTGCCATCGAGATGCCACAAAGGTCTCCCAAGGGTTGCCTGCTGGCACCAGCAGACACCCGGGAAGCTCTCGGCTTTGGCTTGGATCCATTGACGAACTGTTTCAGGATGTATCTCACAGTGCATCGCAAGGATCCGGGTCACCCCGCCCACCAAGCACGCGGCTTGCCGACCTCCGGAACCCAAGCCAGTTCTGCCCAAACGCTCTGTTCGACCCCAGACCCCTCCAAAGGATGCAGGTCCGAACCCCTCCATAGGTTCGGGCCCAGACCCCTCGCGTCTGGGTGGAAGATGTGCAGATCCTCTTTGGCTTCTTCTCCGTGCGTCGTCTGCGTTCGTTTGCAGCTCCGCCTGCCTGGCCATCCAAGTTCCTTCACCTTGGACACACTCCGGGAAAAGGGGATGTGCTGTTGCCCCCCACGGAAAGGGACACCGAAGAAACTGCCATGGCCGAAAATGGACGCTTTGTTGTATACTGATGAATTCACCCTCTAGACATATGCTAAGCTCAAAGAAGCTCTGCGTCCGACCCATTCAACATCTCTTCTCACCCCATTCTCCAGCGCTTCTCATGGACCTTTCGCGGTCGACCGCGGTTCGACCGACCATCGCAGGCTGCACTTCTTGCACACGCGATCAGCTCGCGGTCAGGTCTTTGCGAACCCGACGGACATCCGTCACTGCGATCAGACATCAGCCGTGCTCGCGAATGTCTTGCATTATGAACATTGGACTGCCACAGAGCTCCCACCCAGCGCACACGCAGAAAAGAACTTCGCACTTGCCAGTGGCTGGCATGAAGAACATCTCAACATCTCACCTGCCATGTCTTCATCAACGTTTTGGGCTCTGCGGTTTCCCCACTCACCCTTGCGGCATGCCGCTCGCATGGTGCTCGGATGCACTCCGAAAACCAGCGTTGCAAGAACAAGACCAACGTCTTGAAACCATGCTGGGCACACGCATTCAGAACGTCCGACATGTCTTTCCAACGCTGGACGCGTTGTGCGCGCAGAGCGGAGTCACCGAGCCGGGGTTGGTACCAACGTCGCACGGTGACGTGCACCAAAGGGTACCACCGCCGTTGTTCGGCATGGTCGAGTTTGGAGCGGAGAAGTGTCACGTATATACCTAGAACCTGAGTCTGACCTCTATTTTGGACCACCAACCACCCAAAATATGGCCTTTTCCGATGAAAACAGGGGTCAGTGGGGTTCCAGGTAAGAACTCTCTACCTGGAAGCACAGCAACAGTTCTGGTTGTTCCCAATATGACACCAGCTTGGGATCCTTTCGGAAGTGGCTGGGACTGGACTGGGACTGGCCAGGTAGGGATATGTTTGGAATGTGTTGGATTCACTGCCCGAGCTTCAAAAAAGGGATGACCGGAACCACGCGGCTTCTCCAGGGAGACAGGGCTTCGGAACCGGGGGAACCTGTACGGTGACCACTGGGCCTTCTCCACTGTACCCCGGTGCGGTCAGCGATCAGATCGTTGGATTCTCCGCGCCGACCGTGCCGGACACTTCAGAGCTCCTCTTTGTCCTGGACGGGCGACCCTCGTGGTCAACGCGCGGTCCGAGCGCGATGACGACAGGGACAGGGGATGGACACTCATGACTCCGAACAAAAGCAGCCGTCACAAAACACGTGGAACGACCCCCACCCTCAAATCCATGAACGAATAGAGGTTCTAACAACCATGCATTTGTTTTGCCTTGGAAAAACCCACCATTCTCGTGGTTTCCCCTCTGGTAGCATGGAGTTCGGGAGCTTGAGCGAGCGTGGGCCGCCCAGCACATCCACAGAGGCCATCCCCCCACCTCTCAGTCTCTCCCTCCTTGCGGTCCTTGCTGGCTGTACTAGCCAACTGCTTCAGCAAGTTGATCCGCCGCTTGAGCCATTTCAACTGCCTCAGACACGCACCGCGAGCTGTCGCGACGATGGACGTCGCACGTCTTCGGTCCGATCGGAGCGGCCGAAGCGAAGAAGGTTCTTCTAATTCCTAGTAGTAACAAGTGCCTTACTAATAGTAACAAGAAGCTAGTAGTAACAAGTGCCACGCTAGTAGTAGCAG